CTTATTATTAGATAAATGTTATCTTATTGGTAGATAAATACACTTTAAGAAAATAAGTCTACTCTCAAATAAAAAAATTTTAATTTATACTTGCTTTTTTATCTAAATAAAATTTTACATTATACAATTAATTAATAAGAAATATTAATAAAATAAAGCAGGATAAGATTTGAAGTCACATTTAACTTATAGTTTTATCTATCATATGCAAAATGTCTCAAAATAAACAAATTAAAAGAGATTCAATTCATGATTCTATTATTTATTAGCTTAAAAGTTTAGTTTCTAGAGATTTAATTTCAACTCATACGGAAAAAACGGTTACTGAAGTATCTAAAAATTTAGTTATATATGTAAATATATATTTGAAAATAATTTTAGTGGATTATCAAAATAAGTAATTATGTAACTCAAGCTATAAGTGGCTAAAATATCAAAACTTTTTGTAGCATTGCTTATGTTTGAGTGACCTACAAAATTATTTTGATAATCCAATAAAATTATTTTCAGGTCTAGCTAAATTTTTAGATACTTCAGCAAAATCATTCTTTCTGTTTGTCAAAAAGAAAATTCTATTTGAAATTTATTTCCGCCAAATTTGAATCCCGCTTGTTCGAGGACACTTTGCAAAATTTTATTGCTGCATTAGAGATGCGAAAATCAGGCTTACTTAATCAAAATTAGCGTTAAAATACGCCGATGCAAGTAAGAAGTTGAACACTGTGTCTAACCGCGCACGTCGACGAATGAGAATACACTCCTCTTGCTCGTCAGTTCGTATCCCCAGCTCGAGTCTTCAGCCCGGGGTGAACGTCGAGTATTAACTGTCCGCAACGAAGAGGGGATTCACGGTCGAGCCTCCGACTCCTCCAATCGGTTTCCTTCTACGACGAAAAATCGTGATTCACGCAGCGTTGGCCTCTCGCCAGCCTTTGAGAAAAGAATCAATGAATTATAAACGTGTGATGCAAATACGACACATATGATGTACACGATAAAACATGCAACTGATCTTGGAAAAACATAGAAGCGATAGATTTATGTCCGCTAAGTTGAATATAAGGGGAAAATGATAGAAGCGTAAACAGAACTTCTAGGAGACGAAAATTTTGAGATAACAAAACATGAAAAACATTTAGATCTTCTAGAAACTTTGTTTACGCTTCTGTTATTCTCTTAGATTCGACTTATGTGATTTTTATTTTCACTAGAGATTATATCTCGATAATCCCTGAAGGAATTGCTAAACGGAAGAATCCAAGAAAGGAATTATTAGTTGCCACGAACTCATTCATCATAAATATCAGAGACAATTAATCCTTAATTTCTTCATTATCTAGATTCAGTTTCATTAATAGTGCGATCAGCGTGTTAATCTTGTTGAGTTGAGTCTCTTTTTCAGCTTCATGAACCGTTAAAGAAGGGACAAATTTGTTTTAATTAGGTAATTTAACATCTTTCAGTTGTATCTAGAAAGTAATAAGTTTATAGATACGTTCCTGATATTATTGACGGCGACGTTTTTCCATAGTCATAGATAACGTTAGACACAACGTCAAATATCGCAGTTGCGCTCTCTAACCCACGATGTTAAACAATCCCTAACAATTTAATCAGTAAACACGGCAAACAGTACGATAACCGTGAACATGTACAAACAATTGAGAATAGTTCAGTGCACAACAGTTGCATGGCACGATTGTCAATCAATCTTTAATTCGCACACTCGGCTACTTGTATTATGATGGCCGATTTATCTTAATGAAGTTCTACACTCCATCGTGCTTTAATTAGCCTCTCACCCTCACAGTACGCTTTACGATAATAGAGTGTTAAAGACATGAGTGATTTTTCAGTGTCCATCTTTAAGTGAAATAAAATAATGAATCAGTAATAAAACGTTCTTCTTGTAAAAATGTAATTGTTTTTCAACCGTTTATAAAAAAAATCACAAAGTATATATTAATTTTTTATTCACACTCTAAAAAATATGAATGTAGATTTAAACCTTATGATGTTTATATAATTCTTGTCGTGTTGGTGCTAATAAATACTAAGATACTAATATCATGGATTTTAAATCTGCACCATCCCTGGCGGATAAACTTTTACGAAAAACTACATAGATGAGACAAGATCTTAGAAATTCTTAATTTTTCGCAGATATTTATAGCGGGACGTAGAATGGCATTGTTTGTTTAAAAAACCAAGAAATGCGTCTTCACAAACGCCACTCTACGTCCCATTATGAATATCTATGAAAAATTAAGAACTTTTTAAATCTTGCCTCAGTCTATGTAGTTTTTCGAAAAAATTCTTTTTCCGCCAGGGATTTTGATGTTTATTGCAGATCAACACAGTGAGATTTATAAACACCAACACCCATGATGTTAAATTCACACCCATATTTGTTTAGAGTGAAAATATAAATCTTACGCCAAATAAATCTCGCCTCTTCATCGTTACGAATAAAGATCGCTTTCGCGCGTTCGCAGTAGCGAATCCAGATTGGCTCGTTCGGATCGCACCAATCTTCAGCATATGGTTTTGCAAGTAAGCGACGAGCCTTATTTTCTTTTTCTCATATTCTATAATTACTTTATCGCCTCGCGGAGTTTTCGTGATCAGCGTGTGACGTCGATAAACGGTAAATCGCCGTCGACGACGATAACGATAACAGTTGACCTTCGTTACTCCCGTCTTGTAAAATTGACAATTAAGAACATCCATTAGAGCACTCATTTCTTGCATTTTCTTGTCTTTCTTCCCGCCACCCGATTTGCGCGACATCGGCCCGAATCCTCATTTCTAGATTCCTTTTAAAGATCCACTCGTTTCAAACATATTCCATTATTTACTTTGTTTTAGTCCTCTGACTATCTTTCGAAACCTAAACGTATACCAATCTCATTTTAAATGTGAAAAGTATAAAAATGTACAGCTAACATAAGCATTTCTTATGAATGGCTGCGTTCAGCAGAAAAAACAATTTTGCAACTATTATAAGTAGAGATGTTAACAGAATAAAAACCAAATAGGGTTTTTTATGAAATACATTTTTTTTTTTTTTTAGGAAAAACAGACGAACCTTGTTTTTGTAAAATTCTATTTTTTTCAGATATGCATTTAAAATTTTAATTTAATTTCACACATTATTTATTTTTTATTTAGATATAAGGACACAGTTTGTATAATTTAAAAAATGTTTTTAGTTATTATTTTTAATTACTTCATACAATTTTCGTTATCCTTTGAATATCCTTTGAACTTTTGAAATTCAATATAAAAGAATCTGAAATTTCATCCTTGGTATCATATCTTTATCTAGATTAATTTTCCTTGTTCTGAATTCCGATAGTCTCAGAAATTTCAGACTTTTTGTTAGATGTGCTGCAAGAGATAATATAAAATTATAAATAATCAAATTGTATTTTTTTTAATGAAAAAACATAGTTTGCTTCAATTTTTTTCTATTAAAAATGGTTTTTTTACATCTCTAGTTATAAGACTTTAATATAATGAGTCTTGTCTTTAGTTCCTCATTGAATCTAACCGTATAAATCATTGATATTAAAAAATCTTACAACAGTTATGTACAAAGCTGTTTCTTCTGCTGAGCACAAATAATAATATCCACTTTTTAGTCAGGGTTGATAAAAAGACACGTTTTAAATAGATTAAAACATGCTTAATTGATGTTTTTAATATGTTTTAAACATGTTTTTTTTAAATACTGTTTAAAGCATATTTGAAGCATTGAAATCATATTCAAGAAGAAAAATGATTTACTCTTAAAAAAACCATTAGTCTTTGTCAACCCTATTTTTATCTACATTCTTGTATTTGTACTTGTATTTCTATATCTATTTTTAAAGTACCACTGGGCTTATTTGCTAAGAAACTATAACAATGTAAATCTTACTCTAAGCACAGCATATGTTAAAAAAGAGAAAGTTGAGGAAAAACAAGTCGTAATCCGTCTCTCGCCCATTCCTGTTTTATTCTTCGTACATTGCAGATGATTATGAAAGCTATTCGGTCCAGCTGTCGATTGAGCATCTTTTATTTCTGTTTTGTTTCACACTCCGCAAGGCATGGATTGATGGACATGGATATATAAGAAGCGTGGGAAGAACACAGTAAAGGGTAAACCTATATGTAAAAAATTCAATCAGTGTATTTGTGTTTTCAATTGTACTTTCTTGCAATTTGTCCCTTTTTCCCAAGAAGCTTTATATATATATTATATATATCGTTACGCTCCGAGAAAGGATATGACTCGCAGCTAAAGAAATCGCGAACTTGGCAGGGAAGGTCTTCGCTGGACGATCAGGTAGACACCAAGGATCAGTCACGGGGTATTCGTTGCCGCCGATCACATCTACGTACCTCAATACGACGTTAAGAGCCGCATCGAGGTCGGCTCGCCGTTTATTATGGTTAGCTGTCAATCACGCACCAGGATGACAGCTGATGACAGCAAACACCGACTCCATCGCTGCGGCTTCGGAGCGCAGCGCCGCTACGAGTCTCGCGCGAGATATTCGAGAATCGGGAAGAGAACGAGAGGGACGCCGTTCACGTCGTCGCTGCGATCCGCGACAACGCGAGGTTCTATTTCCATCCGAGATGACGTGACGAACGTCACGTGCAGCTTCGCGCGATCGTACTTTCAGGAGTTCCAGGTGAAGTCGAGCGCGCCCAGGTCGAGGATACCGGCAAGTATTCGTTTCGTTCGCGAACGGAATATGATACCTCACGCGACTTGATACTTTCAAATGACTATCGCCAGCGCTTCCCGCGCGACCGTATCGAGAGCCGCCGTGTCGCGGCGGGCACCAGAGTGCGCAGCCCCGTGTTTTCATCGCCGTCGCCGGTCTGGTTGGGATTGAAATGTCAATGGCGCGATCCGCGGGAGTCGATCTAACCTCGAAAGGCTCCGTCGCGCCTACGCCTCTTGCGTTATATATGCCAGTGTGAGAGGAAAACACCGATTCCAGGTCGTCGACGACGAAGCATGACCGTCTGGGAGAGGCTGCGCAATCCGTGCGGTTGGCGCGCGGGTGCCAAGCAGATCTCCGTGGACGCGATGCTGCCGTTGCTGGCGGTGCCGATCCTGGCGGTGATCGCCGCCCAGGCCTTCCTCTGCACAGTCCTCGTGTTCCTGGTCACGCCGGTCCTCGTCTACTACATGCACCACAACTTCCTCAGGTTTCTACTGCGCACCAAGTTCTTCCTCATGTGGACTATCACGAGCGTGCTGATGATGATGCTGGTGTTCGAGATTAGCGTCGTGCCGCTGATGGAGATCCTGCCCGAGGAGAATCTCGTGTTCATGGTGTGCGTGGTCGGTGGCATGTGGTGTGGCTACAAGACCAAGCTGAACGCGGATGCCTCGATACAGGAGAACGCTGGTGCCGTCGACATCCAGAGCCTGGAACTGGGCAACGGCAGCGGCGAGCTCTGTGCCACGTGCAGGAGAAGGACGCCACCCAAGGCTCATCACTGCCGCTTGTGCCAGACTTGTATACTCAACAGGGAATATCATTGCAAATGGTATCTTGAATACCTTTTCCTTTGATACAGAGCTATAAGCTCTAGTTATATAACTTCTCGTATTAACTACTTTGGCTTTCTTTTCCAGGCTGGATTGCTGTGTAGGTTCCAGTAATTTAAGGTGGTACGTGAGCTGTTTATTCTTCTCCGCAATCGCTTTTATATATGGCTCCAACTTGACTATGACTAGCGTCTGTCATCCGTTCATACTCATTGGAACTATACTCCTACCCGATGACTGCAGTGACGTGTATCATCAATTAGAGTACGTATTTATCATGTTTTCTAATTACACTTTGATACACACTGAGAATATCAAAATACGTTGCATATCGTTCTTGAAATTATTCCACAACAAGATGAAAAGTATATTGAAAAATATGTATAAAAAGTATATTACGAGCACGAGCGGGAAGTGTGAATGATATCACTGATATCGACACTTAATGAAGTAAACTGGAAAGATACAGGGGATCTATAAAGTTTAATAATCGCAAGATAATGATAATGGTCAGGCCTGCAAGATGTATTGTCATAAATAATATCTTTTATTTGTTTTCTGATATATAAAAGTTCGACCGATAACATGTCGCGCAACTGTTTGTTGCGAACATCCGAGCTCGATCGATATGTAATAATGTGTATATTGTTTCAGCATTGCACTTTGCTTCGTCTCCGCTTTGTACAGCCTCTTTGTGGGACTAGTGCTCTTTTGTTATCTTATGTATCACCTACGGTTGCTCTACATCGGCACGACATCGAACGAGCGACGATTGGACATGAAAAATCAGTCTGACTATAGAATAATAAATGTATCTCAGCTGTTCTGCTGCAAAACTTAGGATTGTTATTTGTAGAGATGTGCGAATAGTTCGAATTCGAATCGAATCATAGTGGATTCTCTCTCTTAATACGATTTATTTCGAATCTGAGAGACTTAAAACCGAATAAGTTCGAAATTTCGAATCATCGGTGGTTCGATTCCGAATTCGCCTATTATATTTGCTTCATTTTAATGTAAATCCAGAAAAATTTGATTCGTTTACCAAAAACTTAAACTTATTACCAAAGATTCGATTCGATTTGATTCGACCTCACAAATACTTGATTCGCACACCTCTATTTATAAGCTAGTTATTGAATTTATTTCACACGGTGTATACATTACACTCTGTACAAAGGATATAATGAAATCAAATTCGACAAACTGGAGAACGGTAAGACCAAAATATTTGTTATAGCGCTAAGCGTAATAAGTTTACTTAAAACAAGTGGATCAGAATTCAACAGTAACATCGGCTCGATTGCACACTATCTTCATCCATTTGATGTATCCTGATGTCTAAGATTCATAATTCATGAAAAGTATAATAAGTATGTTACTTCCATAACATTGTGAAATCATGTTCAACATATCATGAGGCATCGAGACTTATTACATTCGTCATCTTTAATGTATCGCAATGTGTGCATACTATTTGTATATTTATTGTAACTGTGATAAAATGGCCATTGTACGAGTAACATAGTAAATTGTATTAATTGAATACACACAGATACACATACACACACACACACACACACGCGCGCGCGCGCGTACTCTAAAATACTCTAAAATACTCTAAAATCAATTCAAGTAAAAAGAACCTTAAATACGTATGTACAATAATGTGATTTGCATTTTATTTTATATAAAAGAGTGTTATTTTTGCGTGTACTTAGGACTAAGACTTACCTCATTCAGATACAAGGCCAACGATTGTCGTACAGTATTAAATCTAAGTTATTTCTAAATTCGTTACACTAGTCTTCTAATATTACGCCTCTTTGCCTGGGATCAAAATCTGGAATTATTTCTTGCACGATTTCTCGCCACATGTTTCTTATTCGCTTTCTCTCCAAGATAACCGGTATCATTTCTGGATATCTTTTCCACATATTGAAATACTTAATTTTCAACTTTTCTTCGTAGTGTTGTAAGGCTAAACGTTCACGCTTCAATTCTTCTACTTTGTATTCTATAATTTTTATCTTCCACATTTTGAAATATTTATTCTGCAATCTCATGTCGCAAAAGTCTCTCGCCACTTGGTCCTTTCTTTTCTCCTCTTTCGCGACTTCCTTCCACTTCTGCAACCCGTACCGCAATAAATTTCTGTTGTACAACGATGTAACTAACTCGAATTTAATTTTATTCTGACGTTCCGTTTCCATCCTCCACATCATGAACACTTTTCGCAGCAAGCACCGCTTATAGTAGTCGTCGGCTTTCTTCATATCATTATTCTTCTTTTCGACGAGCGCGGTTATATAACGTCGCAACAAGTATTTGCGATAAAATGCTTCCGCCATGGCATTTAGTTTCTTATATCTTTCTACTTCGTGCGCTCGTTGTCGCTCTCGTTCTTCACGAATTCTTCTCGCTTCGCGCGATGCCTGAGGACGGAAAAATCTTAGATTAAACACGGGTATGTTTCTAAACATAGCATGTAAGAGGCATTAGAGGATAAAGTACTTTATTATGTTATAGAATGAAGTACAAAATAAACGAGATATTATATCATTAATGTAAAATAGAGTATTACAGTATAATATTTACTGGAAACGTTCCTCGCAAGAGATAATTTTGTTAACAAGGTAAAAGCTATGAGAGCCTAAGTGTACTATATACACTCAATACGATATTAATATACTTTGACCTCTCATATTATCTGACCTCTTGTTGCAATCTTTTCCTCTCTTGTTCCTCCGCTCTCCTGGCAGCCTCTTCTTTCCTCTTCTCATCCTCTAGTTTCTTCCGGCGTGCTTCTTCGCGCAGTTTTACTCTGTCTTTCCTTGCTTCCGCTCGCGCTTCCATTCTCGCTAGAAATTTAGGAGGACTCGGTACCCGAACTGGCGCTATCAAGGATTTGTCCCTGTTAATTAAAGAAGAAGAGCTTATAATCAAGAACTCGTCAAGCCGAATTAAGTTTGCATAGAATTCGATTTAATCTACTATAACACAAAGAACTAGACTCTGAATATCTCCTCTTTAAGGTACTTTCTACTTCACAAACTGTAGAAAGAGCAGCAAGCAGTATAATCAACGGTCCACTTTAATTTGGTCCGCAAGATCAGCTTCCAGCGTCTTTACGTTTTGCGTCATTGCCGTTCGTTATAAAAGAGCTTAGTTATTCAAAATACATTCACACACCGTGCGAATAGATACACATATCTAACGCAACGACGTCATAAAAGAGAGTTGATATATTTTACGTGGAACATAAAGATGATTTGAGAAGATATGATTATTATTCTGGTTACTAGTTGAATTTTAAAATTTCCATTGATGTATGGAAAGAACGATTTGATGGAGTATCTAAAAATTTAGTTAGATACAAATCTGAAAATAATTTCATCGGACATTAAAATAATTCTGTAGAGAATTCAAACATGATAAGCAATGCTATAAAAAGTTTTAACATACTAGCAATCAGCTTGAACGTCTTACATAATTACTTTGAATTTCCAGTAAAATTATTTTCAGATTTGTATCTAGCTGAAATATTTAAACTTTTAGATACTTCAGCAAAATTTTTTTGTGCAAATTCGATTGAGAATCGTATTTAAGAATCAAGAATTTATTGACTGGAGTCTTTTCGAGATAAAAAAATTCATAATTACATTTTGATGAAATGAAATAGGACGCTCATAATTACAGGACTACCTGTAGCCTGCTTGTCTCATCAGTTGGATCAAAGTCCTTCTAGTCTGCTGACCGCAGTGAGTCAGGGTCTCCTTGGCTGCGTTCACCGTTTCCTCGCTAGACCTCGTTATTGCCTCCTGCACCTGCTTTAGCTTCAGTTCTTCGATGATTTTGTTCTGTTCTGCCAATTTCATCCTCTGTTTGCGAATAATCTCTTTCTGAGCGTTCAATCGACACTGTGCCGGCGACTCGACAATGAACGGCTTGGAAGGAGGCTTCTTCACAGATTCGGAATCTCTCGAGTTTGAGGGAGGATGCTTTGACTTCGTTCTTTGATTTGACTTTGACTCCTTCTGCATCTCTTTGATAGTGTCGATGAGCATCTCGATCTTCGGCACGTCAGGATTTTTCACTGCTTGTTCTCGTTGAGCCTTCATCTTCTTCACATGCATCTTCCATAGATGAATGTATGATTTCAGTTTTCTTTGCGATAAGATGGTCTGAATGCGAGTCATGATTTCACAAAGACGCCGTTTATCCCGCGCATTCTCTCGAAGAGCTTTGAAATATGATCTTAAAATATTTAATTTCTTCCGATTCATAGCTTGGTTTATCTTTGATAGTCACCTTAATGTTACCAAAAGGCGCTATCTCGATCCCGTTTATAGAACATCGCTTGCTGTCCTTCGATTCGGCAGAAGAGACTTCCGCGATTGGCTTTTTATTCTTCTTCTGAGCGACTGTTGGCTTTTGCTCATTCGGTTTGCTCGTTCTTTTATTAATGAGAATTCTCTGTAAATTTTTAGCTTATTAATATAATTATTAATATAATTTAGATATTTAAACATTTATGATATATACGCAGGTACATCGAAAGTGGTGATTCAGCCTTAATAAATATCTAATTTATTGCTGAGCTTCACCTTGATTTTGCTGGATGTCCTCCAAAAGTTTTCATCATCCGAACTAGCTATATTCTTTCTACTGCACAATCCGCAAAATTTAGGATGGGTCTTTTGCAAATCTTGCTCAAATTTATGTAATTCTCTCTGTATGAAAGTTTGTTCTCTTTTCACCTGCAGTTCCTTCATTTTTTCCTGCGTTAGTAATCTGTAAATGCATTGATGAAATCCATTTTTGTATCATTTCCTTTTTGTTATTTTTGCCAAATTGCCTTATGTCCATTATACATTCATAAATTATATCAAGTCTGGAAAATTTTTATCAGAATTTTTATGTAAATTTTTCAATAATTTTATAACCTTTCACAGAGAGATTTTTCAGATTTTTTTATACAAATTGGAACACTTTTTAGAATAAGTGTCGAAAAAGTCTGCATCTTTTTTTCTTTTATATGTAAAAATTCTGAAAGTTTATATCTTTCTAGAATTCTTTTATAAATTTAGAATTTAGAATTCTTACATAAATTCTATGAAATATTCTAAGACTTTTCATTTTATAATCTCTAATGAAATCTGAAAAAGTTTAAGATATTTTTTAGAAATTATAGAAGAAGAAATTGTAGAAATGTTAGAATATTTCAGAATTCACATATATGAAAAATTCTGAGATAAGATTCTGAAATAAGATGTAGACTTTCTTAGAAAAATATTCCAATTCGCATAAAAATCCTGAGAAAAACTTTTACTGGTGTACGATAATATCGGTATAATTAAAATAAGCACTAAAATCACAAATTTTATTAGCGATAATTTATAGATTTTATACGTATGCTAGGCTTATATAAGTAGACATATTATAAATAAAATATAAATAGACATATTATAAATAAAATCTACACTTTTATAAGTATATATAAAGTTCGAAGGTATACCTTCTAGCCTCCGCTAAGACAGAAGACTTTGCTGGAGAACTTGCCAGATCTTCGCGAAATATTCTATGCCTCGCGTCCATTACCAGATTTGGATCCAGGAAAGTTTTTCTTTCATCTTCCAGCATTCGCCGTTTCTCAGACGGCTCGAAAATCGTCACTTTCATCATCTCGTCCATCAGCTTCCTCACTTCATCGTCAAACAGCACCATGCTTGTCAATCAGAGACAATTGATAAATTTAAATGTTCACTTCGTATTGCTTTGTATCGTGGGCTGTGCCAACCCCTTATTTATCCATGTTTATTTCTCTGTTGTTAGGGAAAGCTTCAACTCCCCCCATGTCAGGTGAATAGGTCCCAACGACTCCCATTCATGAGTTGAACGGTAGAAGACGAAGGTGGGAGCGATAATCGCTGGAGAAATGCAACTATTAAGCGTCATACTGATATTCTTTCATGATAAATAAATACTTTGAATTTTTGTTAATTTTTTTAAATTAATGACATAGTCGAAAATAATTAATAACATACATAATTCAACTTGGAACTTTTTAATACGAAAATATTATATCCCTAAATGTTGGTATCATTAAGAGAGAATAGAGAATAATATAGATTCACTGGACGAATAATAAACTCTAATGTAATTTAATTTTAATTATAATTATATCCAGGTAGAATAAAATTATAATGAGATCGAGATGACATAAAGTAGAAGTCATTTAAAAAAAAAAAACTATAATGATGTCATTCAATATATTTTTGACGATGATTTTTGTAATGAATTTTTTTACATAATTTTCAATGTTTTTTGAACTTTTTAATTAAAAATAATGATGTATACTTTTTAGTTAAAAAGTCACTTATTGACATTATGACATTATTTTTTCTAAAATGACTGCTATATTTAATGTCATCTTGATTTTTATTATGATTATTATGATTTTGTGTTCTACTGTCTTCTTTTTATATACTTTTTAATAATAAACAAAGAGAAACGTTTTTTTTCTTTTACTGTGCGCGCGTCCGCATTTATTTAGATGATAATTAGTAATATACTTCCAGATTTTACGAATAGATTTTACGATTTTTATAAATAAACCTATACAATTTTAAAATAATAGCGCGCAATGTGAAAGCCTGTTTCGTGGATCGAGGTTCAAAGTTTCCCGCCGTCTCGACGTTAATCAATCGCGATGCGAGATCGGCATCGTCGACTGTCAGGGAGCTAGTTGCTGCAGCAGTACGTGCATCACCGAGCGAGAGGTGCATCGACT